ACTGTATGCAAATTGTATACAGGAAGCAGAAGAAATCCTGGGCTTAGGAAGTTACATAGTTACATAGTATTTAAGGTTGAATAAAGACATAAGTCCATCAAGTCCAACCTATTGGAGTCTCTGTGTAAGCTTTGTGTACACAAATCAGTGTAAGGCAGAAGAAAAAGGCGTGCTGTCCCTTTAAGAGAAGCCCAGGGAGAAATGTGAAAGCTATTTGTTTGGTGTAAGCCTGGCTTGGATCGGTGCCATCAATCTCTTGCAGAATCACAGACACAGAAGGAGCCAAGCAAAGCACAATCACAAACTTGCTACTCTCCTCCAAAGCAGTACAGAGCAGAGAGAAGCAGCCAGACATCTTTAGAGCCGGCACAAGGAGGGGGGGGGGGAGAGAGAATCTGTGGATTGAGCCCGGGAACCCGCGGAAGCTGACCGAGGATCGGGGTGTATGTAGAGGGAACACTTTGATCCAGCTAGTGGCTCCAGGGCGTGCTGGAGACCGGGGTGAGAAGAGCCATCATGGATGTGGAGGTAAGGGAGAGCGGCACTGTGTTCATTTCTCATCATCGCCTTTATGTTGGGGTTTTTTTTTTATATCCTTTGCATCAGGAAACAAGTCCGATGTGATGTGTGCCGCACTGACTCCGGGGGCTGTGTGTTCCCTGCCCGGAGTTCATGGTCGCCATCGGCTGGCACGGCTTTAACCCTTTATCTGCGGGCGGGAGACACATCGGAGGCGATACATTAGGATGGTTAATGGAGGGCAGATCGGTGACAAGTCATCATTCCGGTGTCCCTCCCTGTGCGCTCAGCATTTGCTGGGAAAGTCTTGGCTGCTGCTGCTGAGCACATTGAGAACTTCTCCCCGGAGTGGCCTACAGGCACAGAGCAGCCGATGGGTCCCCCCTTCCTGTATGTAGAATGGGCCCTGGCTGGGATCAGTCCGGAGGTGAGTGAGAGCTGTGTGTGTGGTGAGTGCAGATCAATGTTGAGCAGAGGACACCGAGTGCTCAGAGAGCTGAACAGTAAGAGCAACTTTGGCAGCTGGGTGACAGGGGGAGTTGTTTCCAGTAATGACACCAGGCCTAGTGCAACTTCCCAGCCAGACTACACGTCCCAGCATGCCCTCTGCTGACAGGAAATACACATCCCAGCGTGGACTACACTTACCAGCATGCCCTCTGCTGACAGGAACTACACATCCCAGCGTGGACTACACTTCCCAGCATGCCTTCTGCTGACATGGGCTACACTTCCCAGTATGGACTACACATTCCAGCATGTCCTTACCTGACATGGACTACACATCCCAGCATGTCTTCTGCTGACATGGAGTACACATTCCACCATGTTCTTTCTTGACATGGACTATACTTTTCAGCATGGACTACACATCCCATGATGCCTTCTGCTGACATGGACTACACTTCCCAGTATGGACTACACATTTCAACATGTCCTCTCCTGACATGGACTACATATCCCACCATGCCTTCTGCTGACATGGACTACACTTCCCAGTATGGACTATACATCCCAGCATGTCCTCTCCTGACATGAACTACACATTCCAGCATGCCTTCTCATAATATGGACTACACATCCCAGCATGCCCTCTGCTGACATGGACTACACTTCCCAGTATGGTCTACACATTCCAGCATGCCCTCTGCTGACATGGACTACACTTCCCAGTATGGTCTACACATTCCAGCATGCCCTCTGCTGACATGGACTACACTTCCCAGTATGGTCTACACATTCCAGCATGCCTTCTGCTGACATGGACTACACTGCCCAGCATGGTCTACACATCCCAGCATGGTCTACACATCCCAGCATTTCTTCTTCTGACATGGACTACACATTCCAGTATGGCTTACACATCCGATTATGCCCTCTACTGACATGGACTACAATTCCTGGTATGGACTACACATTCCAGCATGCCTGCTGCTGACATGGACTACACATCCCAGCATTGATTGTACATCCCAGAATGCCTTTTGCTGACATGGGCTAAACATTACAAGTCATCATTCCGGTGTCCCTCCCTGTGCGCTCAGCATTTGCTGGGAAAGTCTTGGCTGCTGCTGCTGAGCACATTGAGAACTTCTCCCCGGAGTGGCCTACAGGCACAGAGCAGCCGATGGGTCCCCCCTTCCTGTATGTAGAATGGGCCCTGGCTGGGATCAGTCCGGAGGTGAGTGAGAGCTGTGTGTGTGGTGAGTGCAGATCAATGTTGAGCAGAGGACACCGAGTGCTCAGAGAGCTGAACAGTAAGAGCAACTTTGGCAGCTGGGTGACAGGGGGAGTTGTTTCCAGTAATGACACCAGGCCTAGTGCAACTTCCCAGCCAGACTACACGTCCCAGCATGCCCTCTGCTGACAGGAAATACACATCCCAGCGTGGACTACACTTACCAGCATGCCCTCTGCTGACAGGAACTACACATCCCAGCGTGGACTACACTTCCCAGCATGCCTTCTGCTGACATGGGCTACACTTCCCAGTATGGACTACACATTCCAGCATGTCCTTACCTGACATGGACTACACATCCCAGCATGTCTTCTGCTGACATGGAGTACACATTCCACCATGTTCTTTCTTGACATGGACTATACTTTTCAGCATGGACTACACATCCCATGATGCCTTCTGCTGACATGGACTACACTTCCCAGTATGGACTACACATTTCAACATGTCCTCTCCTGACATGGACTACATATCCCACCATGCCTTCTGCTGACATGGACTACACTTCCCAGTATGGACTATACATCCCAGCATGTCCTCTCCTGACATGAACTACACATTCCAGCATGCCTTCTCATAATATGGACTACACATCCCAGCATGCCCTCTGCTGACATGGACTACACTTCCCAGTATGGTCTACACATTCCAGCATGCCCTCTGCTGACATGGACTACACTTCCCAGTATGGTCTACACATTCCAGCATGCCTTCTGCTGACATGGACTATACTGCCCAGCATGGTCTACACATCCCAGCATGGTCTACACATCCCAGCATTTCTTCTTCTGACATGGACTACACATTCCAGTATGGCTTACACATCCGATTATGCCCTCTACTGACATGGACTACAATTCCTGGTATGGACTACACATTCCAGCATGCCTGCTGCTGACATGGACTACACATCCCAGCATTGATTGTACATCCCAGAATGCCTTTTGCTGACATGGGCTAAACATCCCAGCATGGATTGCACATTCAACATGTGCTGCTGACATGGACTACACATCTCAACATGGATTACACATCCCAGCAAGCCCTCTGCTGACATAGACTACACGTCTCAACATGGATTGCACATCCCAACATACCCTCTGCTGACGTGGACTACACATACCAGCATGCCCTCTTCTGACATGGACTACACATCACAACATTGATCCCTGCATATCTTCTACCAACATGGACTACATATCCTGGCATTCCCTCTGCTGACATGGACTACATATCTCAGCATGCCTTCTGCTTACATGGACTACACATCCTAGCATCCCCTCTGTCAACATGGAATACAAATCCCAGCATGCCGTCTGCTGTCATGGACGAAACATCACAACATGACCTCTACTGACATGGACTACCCATCCCAATGTACCTTCTACTGACATGGAGTGCACATCCCAATGTGCCTTCTACTGACATGGACTACACATCCCAATGTGCCTTCTACTGACATGGACTACACATCCCAATGTGCCTTCTACTGACATGGACTGCACATCCCAATGTGCCTTCTACTGACATGGACTACCCATCCCAATGTGCCTTCTACTGACATGGACTACCCATCCCAATGTGCCTTCTACTGACATGGACTACCCATCCCAATGTGCCTTCTACTGACATGGACTACCCATCCCAATGTACCTTCTACTGACATGGAGTGCACATCCCAATTTGCCTTCTACTAACATGGACTACCCATCCCAATGTGCCTTCTACTGACATGGACTACCCATCCCAATGTGCCTTCTACTGACATGGACTACCCATCCCAATGTGCCTTCTACTGACATGGACTACCCATCCCAATGTGCCTTCTACTGACATGGACTACCCATCCCAATGTGCCTTCTACTGACATGGACTACACATCCCAATGTGCCTTCTACTGACATGGACTACCCATCCCAATGTGCCTTCTACTAACATGGACTACCCATCCCAATGTACCTTCTACTGACATGGAGTGCACATCCCAATTTGCCTTCTACTAACATGGACTACCCATCCCAATGTGCCTTCTACTGACATGGACTACACATCCCAATTTGCCTTCTACTGACATGGACTACCCATCCCAATGTGCCTGCTACTGACATGGAGTGCACATCCCAATTTGCCTTCTACTGACATGGACTACCCATCCCAATGTGCCTGCTACTGACATGGAGTGCACATCCCAATTTGCCTTCTACTGACATGGACTACCCATCCCAATGTGCCTGCTACTGACATGGAGTGCACATCCCAATTTGCCTTCTACTGACATGGAGTGCACATCCCGACATGCCACCTGCTGACATGGAGTGCACATCCCGGCATGCCACCTGCTGACATGGACTACACATCCCGGCATGCCACCTGCTGACAGGGACTACACATCCCGGCATGCCACCTGCTGACATGGACTACACATCCCGGCATGCCACCTGCTGACAGGGACTACACATCTCAATGTGCCCCCCTGCTGACATGGAATGCCAGAATGTGCAGTTCTGCATTATTTTTAATGGTAGGGTTTGTTTGTTTGCTGAGCCAGCAGTTGTTCGCTCACCACCATACTGTCTTTAAGATTGAGCTCCAGGAAAAAACACAAAACTCCCTTGCAGCAGCACTGCAAGTGTTAAATGCTTGTGTAGGTCTAGGGTACCTGGGGAAAACTACTTTTACTTACCTGATTCCCACTCCAGCATGCTCCAAGACTGGCCCCTGCAGCTTCTCCCCCCTATGCTCCAGCACACGGAGGCCCAGTGACGACATCAAGTGCAATATAGTGCCCATAGCCCAGCATTATACAGGTGAAACTCGAATAATTAGAATATCGTGCAAAGTTCATTTATTTCACTAATGCAACTTAAAAGGTGAAACTAATATATGAGATAGACTCATTACATGCAAAGCAAGATAGTTCAAGCCGTGATTTGTCATAATTGTGATGATTATGGCTTACAGCTCATGAAAACCCCAAGAACCCCAAATCCACAACCTCAAAAAAGTAGATTATTACATGCAATCAATAAAACAAGGATTGTACATAGAACAATATCGCACCTCTGAAAAGTACAAGCATGCATATATACTCAGTACTTGGTTTGGGCCCCTTTTGCAGCACTTACTGCAATTACTTTTGCACGATATTCAAATTATTCGAGTTTCACCTGTATGTGAGGACGCTGGGCAACAGTTCACAAGCCAGAGCATAGGGGAGACACTGACTGCCAGGGGAGCGGGGATCAGGTAACTATTTTTTAATATTATT